CAACTGATACACTTTCTACAGTATGTAAAGAAGGAGGATTTGTATGTTTGTTTTGAAAATAAAAATATATTTTAAAAAAGGAACAATGGATGGAAATTAACTAAAGAGAGAAGCAATTTAGGATTAAGGAGAAATTTCCTAAGGGTGAGACCAATCTACCAATGGAATAGCTTGCCTTCAGAAGTTGTGGTGCTCCATCACTAGAGGCTTTCAAAAAGAGATGGGACAACTATTTGGCTGAAATGATATAAGGTTTCCTGCTCAAGCAGGGAGTTGGACCAGAAGACCTTTGAGGTCCCTTACAACTCTATTATTCTATGTTCTCTATGTTCTAAATTGGGTGCTTCACAGCAGAAGCAATACAGTTAGTTGGACCACAAATGCATTAAATTTAGGGCCTGTATGATCAAGCTGCATCATTGTCCCATTCTTTATCTTTTTTCCCCAGGAAGAAACAAAAAATAGCCAACACTGCAGCAGCTATAAAAGGTCTTGGGGAGTATTAGCTGATCACAGAAGTGTTACTTTACAATGAAAATGTTTGTAACCTTGTCCTTCTTCCTAAAGGGAAGAAGTTAATTCCATCCCTAGATGGGTTATTGATAGTTTTCCTGTGTGTTTCCCTGCCCTAATTCTGTCAGTTTCTACTGTTTATTCAAGGCATGTATCGGCTACATTCCTGTGGTTTTATTATCGCAACTAAATATTCGCTGTTAAGTGGTTCTTGGCTGCCTGCCGGAAGCTATTAACTGAAGGGAGAGAGAAGAAAAAAAACCTATCTTGCACTGAATCCCACCACTGGTTCTAATCCTAAATAGGCCTAAAGACAATACTTTGGTCCAGGGCATCCAGGGGTGAAATCAACCTACCTTCACTATCTGTTCGCAAAAGGGGTGTGGCAATTCAAAAAGCTTAACACATGTATCTCAATAGCCACCAAAACCAATCAAAAGAAGGGCTAAAATTTCCATCATGAATCCTTATCAACATTTCCTTTGCATCCTTAACAGGCAAATAAACTTTTTTTAAAAAAAGTTCAGCCCTGCTTTAAACCTAATTGCGAGATCCTCGCTTATCCAAATGTTCTCTGAATATTCTCTGCTTTTGTACAAAATAATTCCCTGTATCTGATTTTCCTCCATGTCCATCTTCTCTTATGTGTAATAGTTCCACTGTGGTTCTTAATTATTCTCCGGGTTGAAGGAGTCATTTATCCTCATCTGGACAATGGCTGATTGGAAGGAACAGATCATGTAGTGAGCCCTTTACACATTAAGATTTTTTCCCCTAAACATTCTGGCTTCACAGAACATGCCAGATGGTAACAGGTTTTACTCGGTTTTGATTTAATGTGGTCCAGTACATGAATCCAGCCCGTGTTTTGTAAACAAAGGCTTAGTATTAGGTATGAGCCACACTGCGACTGATTCAATCATGCTTAAAACAAACTTGTATGAGTCATTCCATCGGCTTTTTGTCTTTTTGTCCCCCACCTTTCTAACAATCAGCAGCTTTCAATTTCAACCAGAGAAACCATTTTATTACTCCTTCCTAGAAACTAACAGAGCAAATGGCTCTACTCCTTGAGAAAATGAATCAGCTGAACACCCAAACCTGGGCCACAGCCAAATGAGCGACTATTCTGCATCTTTCTGCTGCCATCTTGTGATTGTCCAGGTTTTTGCAGCCCTACTTTTCCCAAGGATAGCTTGGTTTTACTTTTGAACATAAAATCAATCATATGAAAGAAGTCAATTAATAAAAGCATAGGATATAAAATGAGAAGGCAGATATCTCCTTCAACAGAACTCAACTCCTGATGACTCCATAAATACCAGGGAGGTGCAGTCAGGGGAGGCAGAGGAGGCAGGGCCTCACCACTGTCATCATGAAAAGAAAAAAAATGTAAAAGGAAAAAGGCTGAGCTAGTTGCTGCCAGAATCACCATGGATGACTCTGTTTAGTGCTTAACTGTGTAAAAAAGCCTCTAAAAAAGTGCTCTCTACAGGGGGCGGCAGGAGAACGAGGTGCCTCATTTAGTCTGACTTTATGATCACTTGATCACTTTTAACCCTAAGCAAGGGTTAAAAGCCGAAAAATTCCTTATGTAGATGAGGCACGTGGTTCTCTTGCCTCCTGTAGAGGGCATTTTTAGAGGCTTTTTAGAGGCTTTGGGAGCAGCTAGCTCAGCCTGACCTCAGCTCATGCCTTTTTCTTTTTACATTTTTTTTTCTTTTCATGATGGTAGGCAAGAGCAGAGTTGAAATCCCCTCTGAAACAGCTGGAAAAGGTGCATGTGTGGGGAGGGGGGAGGAATTCAAAAAGTTTGATTGCATGCAGAGCCACATTGCCTTTTCAAACACACACACACACAAACAAACACAAACACACACACAGCTGGATAAAAGTATATAAGCCCAGCTTCACTGATTACAAGTTTGAAAAGGCAACGTGGCTCCACTTGCAATCAAAGGCTCGGATCGGAAGGCAACAGGGGAATGGTGGGGGGTATGGTAGAAGAGCTGCTTTCAAGCCATTGGAAAATATATCCAATCCAACTTCTGTGTTTATGTTTGTTTGAGAGTGAGTGAGTGAGAGAGGGATCTAACTTCTCTGTGTGCATGTGTCTGTTTGAGAGAGGGGGGAGGGAGGGAGAGAGGGAGAAAGGAGGGGGAGGGAGAAGAAAAAGAATGAAGGAAAACTTTTTCACAAAGGAGAAAAACAAATGCTGTCGCTTTAAATCAGAATTGAACAGGCCTGGCTGTGGAATTCTGGGAGTTGAAGTCCACAAGTCTAAACAAATTTGAAACCCCTGTGTCATTGCCTCACCAGCCATAAACCTCACCGCACATCACTGAATGTACAGTATATCCGTACATTTCTTCCATTCACTTCTTTTGATATTTCTCATTTCTTACAGCCTTCAGAAGTCTAGTCCTCTACTAAGAATGTATCACCATGGTTGCTTAACTTTTGTAGATCTGGCAAGCGATGCCATCTAGCTAAGTCCAAAACTCAGGAGGGAGGGCAGAAAGATTCATGAATTACCCAAACGCAGGGAAGTAGTTTTTGAAAAAAAGGATAATCTCGTTAAGAGCAGCCAGCCGCTCAATCCAATCCAGTAATAAACTCTTCTTGTCTTTTCCTTCGTCCCAGATGAGAAAGCAAATACGGGCAAATGCACCAGCAACAATTGGCTGAGCTGGGCGGCTGCGTCAGCAAATACCTTTGCCATGACCTTCTCCGACACCCCATTCATTGACTGACTCAGAAACCCTGCAAAAGCCCCGCTTGAAGCCTAGACGTCCCCTTGGGTCGGCTGAAACCGCTGCCAAGGTTCATGACTTGCGCTCACTCAACGCCCGCAATTAAAGGCGAATTTCCCCCCGAGCAAAAGCCAAGCCGCCTGCAGAGCAAAGGTATTCGGAAGGCCCGCCATTGGCTACCAGACTTGCAAGCTGCTGGGCTTTGATTGGCTGCGGGGCTTCCTTTGTTCCTTTCCCCGCTGCCGCAGAAGACGGAAGTTTGACTCTGCTCCGCAGCAGCTGGAGAAATGCAAAAAAGAGCCCAGGAGCGAGCGGTGTGGAGCAATCTCGCGAAGCCCATTTCCTTTCTAACCACATCCTTCTGTCAGTAAGGGTGGAGTAGGAAGGGAAGAGGCGTCTCTGTTGCCGTTGGTCCCGGAATCTCGTGTTGTCTGTGCTGAGGATCCCGACATGGATTTGGAGAGCAAAATCAAGAAGGTAAGAAGAGAATCGTGAGTCAGGGAACTGGGATAGTTGGTCAGAAGTTACCTGTCCGCGCTGGGCAATGTGGGAATCCCTCGGAATCTTATCTTGCCCTTTGATGCGGTCTCAAATATCGCAACCCACCATTTCAGTCCTTCACCGAAGTCAGAGACTAGTGGAAAGGGAAATGGGGTATTTTCTTCATTGTAGCGAATAATTATTTGGTTGTCTGTCTGTCTGTTGATTGGGTTAAGGGTGAGAGACTACACCCTTACATTTGTGATACATAAATGTATGCATAATACCATACTATCATGATTAAATTTACTCAGAAGTAAATCGTGTTTACTTCTGTAAATAAAAAGTTACATAGAATTATCTACTTCTTCCAGTTGAATATAAAATATAAACGGTTATAGGAGGGGACCCTTAATAACGTACAGTGACTTCAATTAGTAATGTTGAAATTAAGTACAGGTCATCTTCCACTTACAACCACAATGGAGCCCAAAATTTATGTTGCAAAGTGAGACATTTTTTAAACCAAGTTTTGTCCCATTTTACGACATTTCTTGGCAGAGTTGTTAAGTGACTCACTGCAGCTGTCAATTTAGTAACACGGTTAAGTGAATCTGGCTTCCCCATTAACTTTGCTCCTGGGAAGATCACAAAAGGGGATCACATGACCCCTGGGACATTGCACCTGTCATAAATATGAGTTAAGCCAAGCATTCATATGCCAAGCATCTGAATTTTGATCACATGACCAAGGAGATGCTGTAACAGTCATAAGTGTGAAAAACGATCATAAGTCACATTTTTCAGTGCCAAACTTTGAACAGTCACTAAATGAACTGTTATAAGTCGAGGACTGCCTGTATTTGGCATAAAATTGCATACTTATATATTATCCAAAATGTTACCTGAACAAAGTTGCTCAGGCAAACCCCCAATATAAAAAGAAACCTATCTTCACTTCTTCTGCCCATCTACCCAGGAAGATTTTGGAAGTTCTTTGGGTGCAAAGACATCAAGACATATGTTTCTTTAATAAACAGATTAACTTATATCAACATTTTCTGTAACTTTTGCATTTGATTCTGGCTTTGGTGACTTTAGATGAGCTGTTCTTGCATAGCTATTGTAGTTTCAAGACATGAGATTAAAAACACTGACATTGTTAAAACTTGTCATCCCTTATTCCAATTGATGACTTTAATTTTGGCTGTATCAGACTGTTACTTGGAGGTGAATCTTCCCAAAGCCAAGATCTTGGAGAATATTACAGTTGAGTGAAATTTCTTCCTCTGATGGCAGATAAAAGCTTTGCTCTATTTAGGTAGGCGGGGTGAGAAGAACAGATCATATGTCCTGCAGCATTTTTTTTTACTGAGTATTGTTTACTGCTATTGTTTCTGTATTGGTTGAAATTGTCAATGGCCCACAATACAAAATCTTTTGAAAGGCCTCAGTACTTGGGCCCTTCAACAGAAAAGAATATGAAACCAGGATATGAAAAGCTGATATATATAAATCTCAGGCACGCAAACAGAATAAACATTAGATCTATTATATGATTAGACATCTGGAAAAGCATCTGAACAGTAGACTTTGCTACATCGGTTTGCTGCATAAGCTTTGTTTCAATAAAATTTTATTATGTACTTGTGAAATAGGCTTTTTTTAAAAATTAAAGAGAATTTTCTTTATAGAACACACTAAATGTTAAAAATTTGGTGAGAAAGCTGTTTATTATTATGACTCGCCAGACTTCCATTTTTTTTCAACTGTTTCTGGTTATAATAACTAAAGAAAAGATGAGGAATACAATTCCTTATCACTCTTGAAAATAATGCAGAAGTCAAATTGAATGTAGAAAATTAAGTCCTAGGATGATTGGATCTTTATTCCCCCCCACTTGTTTTTCCTAAAAGAGAGTTTAAAAAAATAATGTATTGAAAACCTATATAGGACCAAAAGCTTGTCTCAGAGGTTAAGAACAGCTCTAATGCTGTTGAGCTATACATGTTAGTAATCCTACCAGCCCCACTACAGTGAACGATGTTGGGAATTGTAGTTCCAAAACCTTTGGTCGTTTATAGATAACTTGCATTAATTATGTAGCCTGTTCCCATATAGAAAAGTTTTAGCCCAAGAGCTGGATACTATGCAGTAATATTCTCCCCCACCATAAAATGGTGCTCAGCAACTGACTGAGATTCAGATATTACGCTAAGACATTATTTTTAAAATCAGAGTTTGTTGAATAACTTTTTTAAATGTAAGACTAAGCAGCAAGGTAGGCTTGCATTTAATTCAACAGACATCAAACTAGCTACATTATGATGTAATGTTACCTGTGAACCTCACCACTTTTCTCCAATGCTTAGCCATCATATTTAAAAACATCTATGGTCTAATTCTCCATGAATTTAAAACTATCCAAGTTGTTTACCATTGTTTCATCTTGAGGCAGTAGATTTAATTGCTTTAAAATGTGCTTTCTGGAGGAGTATTTTAATCTATTTTGGCTGGATTTCTATATTCCTTTGAATGTTTTTATTTTTGGTCAGGTCATTCTGTTTTGCCTTTCCTCTGTCCAAGTATCCAGAAATTAGATTTCCCTTTTTTCTGTATAGAGGAGTGTTTCCCAATCTTCCCTATGTTAAATTTCACCAATCTTCTATGAGAGTGAGTCCCATCCATTTAGAAACCACATAGTTTGTATGCATAATGCTTTCAAGAACATATTTTGTTATTAAATGTATCAATTATGGTACGTTTTAGCAATACAATGATACAGTGGAAAATATTTTTTTCAAATTATTGTAAAATAATGAGGATTATTTGCTATTTTAAAAGCAGTCTTTTGCTCTTTTAAAAGCAGTCTTCTTCCAAGTAGTAATCAAATATATTTCAAATAATGGGCGAGAACATACAAAGTGTATAACATTTTATTTTAGATAGCTATAATGTACTGGTAGGTTTGTAACTATACTGACCCCTGCTATGTCAGAAAAATAAACATAATTACACCTAGTTAATACTTTGGTGGAAAACCTCAAGAAGATTCCAAAGTTGTAGACTAGACTGCAAAGTCAAAAATACATACTGCACTAAGAAAATGATAAACTGCTTCTGTTTTGTTATTGAAATGCCTACATGAATAGGTCTGTAAAGACATCAAGGTCGGGCTTAAAGAGACTTGCCTTTATTTATCATCTACCCAGAAAAGGGATGAAAGTTAGCTGAAGGACTGCAAAGGGCAGTGCAGAAAAAAGGGGCTGGTAGAAATCTGTACTTTTCATAGAGTTATTTCCCCATGGCAGCCATTTTACAAGAGGAGCCACAATGTGATCTCAAATCCTGAAGTCCTTGTCATCTTCAACAGACTTCTTAACCTTTCAGCAGTAAATGTCATAAGAGTTCAAGTGCAGAATCTACGCCTTGCCTAATTACCTGTGGGGGAAAAATCCATAGAGTCTCTCACATTGTCTTATTTCATCTAATAGTATGTAATGCAGTGAAGTCATCTTACAGGTATGGAGAGTTTGACAAAGATAAGATCATAAGCATGACATCAATTTACTGATGTAATCTCAGGGAGATTGTTCATTTTCAACAATAAACTTGAATCGTGCCTTCAGGGAAAAAACGGGCGGGTCTCGAGCAATAGATGGTTTAGAAGGATAGAGCCTAAATATTAATAAGTTTTAAAGGTCAGTAATTAATAAACCCAGTAATAGACCCATTTCTATGGATGTTTTATGATGCCAGGAATGTCTTTAAAATTAGTCAGATCTATTCCACAAATAAAAAGTTATTTCCATTATACAGTACACCATTAAAAAGCTGTGTCTGTGTTTGCATATGTATGTTTGTACAAATATGTGAATTTGTGTGTTGTGTGTGTGTACATAGGCATCACATTCACCATAAATCAGCCAAAATCCATCTAGTTCATCCTTTATTAAGTGCTTCCTGGATCAGCTTTTGTTCCAGGCTGACGTCTATGTTGCCATCTGTAACATTGGTGACCTCCATAATATACATCATCAGGTCACAGACAGGGGTCAATTTGCATGGGAAGCTTTCATAATTTATCTCAGGAAAGAAGAAACTGGCACAGTGATGCGTGTCCCCTTCTTTTTGGGAAATAAATATTTCTATTCGGATGATAAATCTTTGACTTGAGGTATATTCTTGGACGTATGAAAAATTAAATAAACAGAGTCAAAAATATGAGCTAGCTTAATCTTATAGTACAAGTGCTATTTAACATATAAGAATAAAGTTTTGACACCCATTTACTGCAAAGTGCTAGTTCATTGTTTTCACAGAGCTATTCTTGATTCTTCTTGCTTTGTGGCTGCTACCATGGAAACAAGGAAACATGAAAATCACTATTTTAATTACTCTGAAGTTGGGTTCAGTGCCATCATTGGGTTGAAGTTGAATTGTCTGAAGTGAAGCCAAATGGAAACCTCTTCTTCCGAACAGACTTACAATTGCTTTAGTACTTTTACAGGCAATTTTATAGAAGCGGCATTGTCACAAGAAAAACCTAAATTTATTTCTATTCATGGATTTCTATCAGAGCAGAACTAAGCAAGAACTATGTGGTGATACTTACAGGCAAGGAATCTGTCTAATAAAGTAACTTAACAGCATAAAATAATAGCATGAAAGGGTAAGTTCTAAAAGAAACCAAATGTTCATCCCCAAAACCAAGGTTATAAATTGTTTTCATCCATTTAAAACCTTATTGAACCAAAGAAGGGCTCTATAGTGTTTATATTCAGACAGTATTTAATAGCAATATCTTTTTCAGTGTTTTTATATATGTTCACTATGTTCTTTCACTTCTGGACCTTGGCCACATTTAGCTGTGTGAGCTCCAAGTCTTTGAATTCTAAATAATGGCTCAGTAATAACACTGGTGAAAAAGATGCCAGGATAGGATAGAGTTTGAATATAGAAATATACTTTCCAGAGAGCACTGCACATCCTCAGCT